GTTTGCTTTTGTACAATTAAGTAGCTGTATAAACTTAAAGCTGCAATTAGAACCATGAGATGCTGCAGTTAAGAAGGCATTCTTGCTTCAAAACTTAGCATATGGCATGCTTGTCTGTGATATTCTTCTCATTGCAGACCCAGTTATGTGAAATATTGAGCCTCTCCTACAAGAGGATGTTTACTCCTGTGTTCTAAAGAAGTTAAGCGCACTCAGTGTCTCAAGAGCTGCAGATTATTTGCAGGATGAGGATACATGTCAGCACATAAATTCTATTACTGCCCAGTAAAGTGATGTGTCTGTATCAATTAAAAAAAAAAAAGCTTGCAATTCTTCATTTATTGGCATGTATTTCAGTTTATAAGAAAACTACACTGTGTTTTAAAAACCTGAAAATTGCAAATTTGCTTATTCTCAAGCATTTGCTAGTCCACTGCATACTAAAGGACTTGTTATTTCTGTTACTAATTATTGGACAGGTCCTGATATTTTACTTTGTAAGAAGCTTTGTAAGAGGTTCAATAAAGCCTGAAGGATCAGAATCTGGCCCTGTATGTTATGATCTTAATTTCAGCTCAACTGGTTGAAAATAAAGTATAGAATGGTGTCTCACAAAAAAAGCATTTTATAATATAAGGAACTGTGTTAAATAAGGTATTATATTTCAGAGAAGTCAAATTGAAAAAAAAATCAATCCACTCAAATAATGTGCAAAAAGGATATCTCATAATTTTTTTTCCAAGGAATCATCTACCAATCAGAGGGTTTTTTTGGAAAAAGAGGAAAAGTAAGAGGTGGTTTTAGATTATGGGCTAATTATACTTGATGGATAGATCCACTAAGGTGGTGAGCAGTGCAAGTTAATAAAACTAATGTTAATTGAGTTAGAGCTCAACTGTCCATGATATACTGAGCTGAATCACACCTCTGGGTGATGTTGTATCATGTTTTCTGTATATTAAAATGCCTTTCTGTGTTCTAGAACTGGTTTCCATTTTTAAGTTTTTCAGCACAGCAGCAATGATTACAAGCATATAAATTAATTAAAGTCAAGACTTTGGAAAACAGTTCCACAGAAAAAGTATATTAAACAAGAAAGAATTGATCTATAAGTACTCAGTTGCTTTCACAGTCTGAATTGGCTCATGTGAGCACACGTGCTAGAGAATTCTCACTGCTTATTTTCTCATTCTAATGGAAGGATACATGCCATAAGCAAGTTTATAATCTGAATCAGGTAAATAGTTTGTGGTCATGGGAAATCAAAATTTATACTTCTGTCTGAATTGGATATGACACTACTGTTGTGCTCTCATGCTAGTAGGAATGCTTTTGTAACATATTTTGAGGTATCAGATGCTACTGTCTAAGGCTATTAGACGCTACCCCTGTGTATTCTGGCACATCATGAGTTCTGTGGCCTGTGGATCCCCTGACATTGCCTATTACCATGTTCAATGATTCTCACTGTGTCTTCTGTTTCATTAAAGCAACTAGTGCCTCCCTTTGCTCAAAACGTCCTAAAATTAAACTTCTGATCAATGTTATGATCTCCTTTTCCTTATTTCTTTTTCTCAAATCAGCTCCAGTCTTCATCACTCCTGCTCTTTACTCTCACATCGATATACATCTCCTGCATTTATGCAATTTATGCATCCAAAGCTTTCTAAGTTTCTCCCTTAGTTTAGTCTACTCCATGCTAAAGTCCTTAAGATTCCTTCTGATCATGATTCCTAAGAATAACTTGCTAAAAGTTAATAATCACATTAAGCAGTTAATATGAATATAATTTTCTTCATATCTATTTGTTAAAATTGATGTATATTTCTGTTTACTCCTAATTCTGCTCCATATATTTCTTTGTCAGCCTTCCCACAGTCTTTCATAGAGTTCCAGGTGAAGTCCAACTACTGGCACTGAGTAAGCAATTTTTTTACCTATTTCTGTGAGGAAATACAGTACATAATCTGTCTTTCATATCACTTCATTGTACTGTGAAGTTCAATCACCTCACCATCATACTTTCTCTTCAAGTCACATTGTCTGTAAAGGATCTCAAGAAGGCATTTAGTACATCTGCTCTCTCTGACAAAGAGCAGTTATTCCTGTTAGGTGTTTTTCCTTTCTCTTCTTCAAAATTCCAAAACCATCTCTAGGCAATCTGTTCTAGCACAACATTGCTTAAACCACTAGAAAATGTTTCACACTTCAAGCCTGAACTTTCTGGGTTTTTTTACATGGTCCTGACTGCTCTACTTTAGCAAGAATTGGCACAGCATGGGATTAAGTAGGACTAAATAACTACGTCTACGCATGCTTTCCATTTTCTGTTTGGACTAGGGGCTTTGGTCAGTGACAGTAAAACTAAAGGACTATGAAAAAAATCTTTGGCAAATCTTTTCAGCAGTCCTTGTAAGTGTGTGTATTATGAAATAAATTATGAAATAAATAAAAAAATGGACACTCAGTCTGAAGAAAAAAAAGCTAGAACTGGCATCAGAGAAGCATCTGGATCATGACAGGTTATGGATAATATTAAGTAATGTTTAGCCCCAAAGATGGAAAACTGAATAGTCACCAATACTCAGCTGCCATCTCATTCTGTGCAGTGGAATTTTTTTTTTTAAAGCACCTCATCTGAGATATGACAGAATTTCTTTTTTTTTCTTCTTTTTTTTTCTCTTTATTTCTGAATTTTTGACAGCCATGCTAGTACTACCGATTAAGCAAACCAAATGGTCGTGAATGAATGGGCACTTACTAAATATATGTTTAGGGCCAAATCCAGATTCTATAGAAACATCTGGAAAACATTAATTCAGCTTAAATGGGATTAAGATACAGTTCTCAGTGCTGCAGATATATATATTTCCTTCCTTCCTTCCTTCCTTCCTTCTTTCCTTCTCTCTTTCCCTCCCTCTCTCCCTCCCTCCCTCCTTCCCTCTCTCTTTTTCTCTCTCTCCCTCTTTCTCCTTGCTTTTTCTCCTGTCTTTTTTTTTTTAATAACTATTTCAAAGCTGAGTAAGGTTTTAAGATTCTAAAATTATACAGAACTTAAGAAAATGAGATGAGAAAATTTCCACCTGCTAACAATTTAAAACCATGGTTTTTTAGCTCCTCCTGCACAGGCTGATAATAGCACAAAGTACTGAAGGTTGGAACTCAATATGGTTCACTTTCTGTAGCAAGTCACATCTTTTACTTTCTGTCTGTGATAGAAATGTTTTCAAATACAATCTGTTTAAAAAGACACTCCTAATTTAAACTAGTTGGTGCTATTTGGGTGTTCAAATACTTGTTGCATTTCTGGTTTTAATACAGAACTCAGTGTATCTCATCTTTAAAACTCAGCATGTTCAAAAATAGCTTACTTCTTTTGATACATCTTTTTCAAGGTTGTTCAGGTTTTTTTCTTTTTCTCTTTTTTTTTTTTTTTTTAACTGTGCTGCAACAAAAATGGTTATATAACCACACAAATTTTCTTTACGGGAAAGAATTTACTGTATTTTGATATGACTTTATTCTACTCTCAAAAAAAGGACTAAGGTGTGCTGACTTTCCTATATGCTACCCCATACTTGTACAAAGACTCATGCAAGGATGCTTATTACATGTGCCTACATATGTCTGACAAATCTGGGCTAGATCCTGTCACTTTTGTGCTAAGTAACACTTTATCCGATTCAAATAACTCATTTTGAATAAGTTCCTACTTGCATAGGAATGACAGAATATGGCCCTCAGGATTTATCATTTGTTGCATATTCCAGTCTTATACATATCTATATGAACCAAATGGACCATGACATGCTTAGAAAAATAACTGGAAATTCAGAACAAAGCAAAGAAACAAACCAACCAACAATAACAGAAAGGAAGAGAAATTAATGGGAATAAAGTCCCTAAGGCATCTGCCCAAGAACTAACACAACACAATCAGGAATTCAGAACATTTATTGCAAAAGCTGAATAACTAAATAATGTTGAACTGGCAAAGCAGTAACAAGGATAACTGGTTAGATATTTATTCTGTCAAAGTCATCAAACACCCCTCACAAACTGACATAAGTACTGCCATAAGCAATGCACCCCTAGCCCATTTGAAGCCTTTTATACTGTGGAGGGAAAAAAAGTGAACTGCTATATACAAAAGAATAAAGAAAGAAAAGAAAAGCTTGTGTTTTCAGTAATAAAATCACCTTCAGATTAGCTAAATTTGTTACTTTAAGACTGATGTTTCACTGTGGCATAAATAACTTTTGATTTTTTTCTGTATGGACTTTTTTTGCTTTGCATGCTATTTATTTGTGTAAATCATCTTTCATGCCTTAAAAAAACCATCTAAAAATGTTTGGATTTGGATTTGCTTTGCGTGCAACTTAGATCTCACTAACATTAGGAGTCACTCTACTGGTTTGACTGAGGTGATGTGATACTGGTACCTGCCAGGCATTGACCAACTATGATAACAAACAGTTAAACAGCAATAATTAGAGATTTAACCCTTTAGTTTCCCCCAACTAGCCTACCAGGAGAATGCTCTGTTACATCATGAAGGCACAACACATTAAATATTCTGTGGCTATGGTCTAAAAACACTTGTGTTACTACAACGTTAACGCAGATGAAGATCAACACAAATGCTGCTGTTTCAGCAATACATACTGTCTTAGGTATAGACACACACCTGCCCAATTGGAAAAACATTATTACTGTATTTTGCTCCTGTAGAATTTCCTCCATGTATTTCAGCTGGGATCAACATCAGCTACCACTCATTAAATGACAGACTACAGCTAATTTGATCTAGGATCCCAAATGAATAGCTTTCCCCCTCACCTGCCACCATACATTTAAATATTCTTTTGTTTTGCAATTTCCTTGCTTCATGAAACATAATGGAAACGAAACAAAAAACTGCTAAGTTTTTAAGCCCTTACACAAGTTCTTTCACTTCTTAATATAAAATAAAATAAAATAAAAGAAGAAATTCTTGCTGGCATGATTTGCTACTACATAGAAAGAAATTTTTCTTTTTCCCTTTCTGCAACCAACCTTTCTTCCCACCCCATCCTTTTTACACAAGTGGTTTGAGTTCCTTGGAACATTGTGTGTCAGACAGATTACTAACACAGAAACACCATCACTGAAAATAAAAGCAAAACAATAGGAAGCCAATGAAAGAAATTAAAAAGCAACTGTGAAACACAGAAATATGCTACAGTATCTTTTCAAGTGAACATTATAAGTACACAAAAGTTGTAAGTAATAATTGTTTCTATTTACAAGTATTTGAACACTGATTGACTTATAAGTGTCCACTAACATTGTTAATAGCACAATAGGTTTAATGTTTAGCTTCAATTGTTTGCAATATGATCTCAAGTATAAAGGTCCCAGCATAGATCAATGACAACAAAAGTACAATTTTCTAACTGGATATGCTTTTCAATCTTCGCAATTCACTGAACTTTCATGCTCTCTCACTCTCCAAATGCATCTTCTGTTGTTCATAGCAGCAGTCCAGGGTCGAAACCAAAAAAACAAGAAAAGAATATTTGCAAACTGGAGAGATCTCTGCAGATTTTAATCATGTCTATTTAACAAAACCACACAACTAGTAGAAACACTCTTTCATGTTGCAGGACATCATACCTTCCACGACGCTAACATAAAGATATGCATATCTCTGCTAGGTGAAGCATAGTTCTAGAGGTCTATCCAGTACATAAAGCTCTGACACACACATAGTATTAGCAAGTCTAAGTAGGCTAAAGTCATGGGTCCAAAGTAATCATTTCTTATAGCTGGTGTTCCTTTGGACTCTCCACAGTTCCTGAGGCCTGTTTATAAGACTTCAAGTTGGCCAGAGGAATGTCAGTCATGTGGTTGCCAGTGTTGAAATGGCCCTCACTGGAACCATACTGCTTTCGGTCACTGAACTGATTTCTGTTGCTATCTTCTTTCCAGGTCCTGGTCAATGTGTGTCCATTAACTAGTTTGTCCTTCTTAACCCATTCTTTCTGAGGTGCAAAGGTGGAGAGAGGAGACTTTGGCTGTTGGTATGGGCCCAAGCTAGGAGGCATCCAACAGTTGTCTGAGTGACCCAAAACCAGGCATTCTTGAGTACACATCTCTGTAGCTTCAGCTAATCCTCGTGGCCCAAGAGGCCCATCTGTAAATGAAAAACAAAGAGAAAGAAGAAAGAGGAAGAAAGGAAAAAAAAAAGACATAATATTAGATTGTGATATTTGTCATTAAACTTATACATAGAACTCATGAGAAAATTAACAATGATTCTGCAACAAAATATTGTGCTGGTAAATCTCATATAAATTTTCATTCTGTTAGAAAGTAGTTGCTTTGTAGGGCATAAGCTGTATATGCTACATACCTCGTTTCCAGAAGTGGAAATAAAGTTCTATTATCCCTAAGTTATCGGTCTTAGATCCTACTAGGAATAAACTTAAGTCTTTTCTCAGTCATACTAAGAAAATAAAGGTAATTAAGTGAAAATGTCAAAGGAAGTGAACATACCCTTGAAGATTCTGAGTAAGAATTAATGCTGCTTATAAAAGCCTACAGTTCTGCTTTCAACTCACTTTACTGCTGCAGAACCTTGGTGAACTAACAGCCTACTGCAAACTGAGAAACATTTATACTATCCAAAAACAGGTTTGCCCAGAGGAATGCACTGTACAGGATTATTCTAATGTCTACTGTTTTACAAACACAGATTGGTTCATAGCTCTAGATTTCTATCCTGTGGATACACACTCTGATGTCCACTCCCAACAAGTAAGAGATAAGTTAAATGTTGCTGGATTTAATAGGAAACCTTGAAACACTTCAAAACATTGCATGGAAAGAGACCATTAAACACATCTCAGATAGCTGCTTTACAACGACAAAAGTAAAGGGGTAAATGAAAAAAAAAAGTTTATGTAAATCTTGCACTTGATAAAGAACTGTTCTCATAATTCTTTGAAAGATAGTAATACAAGACCACAGAAGACAGAAATTAAGTTTGCTGAAGTACTAGGCATATTAAATATCCACATCATCTTTCACACACTCCGGAGGACACACATGGCCAACTGCAGGCCTCTTTCAATAAAGCAGGTCACCCATGCCTTCAGTAAAACTAAATTCCTCTCAGCTTTACTGTATTTTTAGATGGCTTACTTTGCTCATCTGATCGGACTGGATGTATGAGGAAGAGGAAGCCAGGAAAAAAGCAGAGAAATCACTCTATATGTCTTCATTAGATATTTCTCAATATCTGAGATACACTTTGTCATGATTCTTTGCTAACTGTGTTGTAATTTTGACAAAGAATTATGAGATGTCTTTTCTTAACTTCAGAGTAAATCAACTGGATAGTACTGCAGACATCTGAAGAGTTAAGGAGACATATTTCCTTGATTAAACAGCCCAGTGACAGGAAGGAAATTATAGATTGATTTTTGAGAAAGAACATTAGGAAGTAGTCATGAATAGCAAAGTTACTAATCAGAAGAAATATGTCAGTGGTGTATCAGAAAAAAAAAGTGTATCTTTATAATAATATAATTGAGACTCAAAATGATAAGTGAAGACACACTAACAAAGATTTCTATGTTAAAATGCCAAAGAATATTTTATTCACTTGTACTCCATGCATATATAGTAACTTATCTTTTTCTGAACACTGACATTAACTCAATTAATTTTATGGAAACTCCTATTCATTTCTCATTGCTTTTAAAAACAGATATAAAAAATATCACCAGGTATATTTCCACATGTTACAATGTAATTAGCTCATCTTATCCCTGTGTAGCTTCTCTTTTTGAATATCTGGAGAATATACAGTACTCTGTTGAAGTGACAGAAAATAATAAGCCATAATCAAAGTTGCTACCACATTCCCCATATTAGAAAGTGTCCTATTGCTGAAAACTAGAACATGAAAAATGTATAGAATCAATGCTACTTTCCATGCAGAGCAATATAAGATGAAATAATTAAACCAGAACCATTAGGAAACACAACAATTGTAAAGTAGGAGCCCAGCAGAGATTTCAGTGAGAACCACGAACTACAATTCTAAAATGAGACCTGACATAATACCCTGGAAGAGACATATTCTTTTTTCTATAAAACTCTTATTTGAATCCTCTAGTATGAAATTCTAACTAAACTGAAGCAGGTACTTAGTGAGAAAACAAAGCAAAACAAAACAATAATAAGTAAAGAAAGTACACACTGTACATTATTAACATTTCCAAACGTTAATATATAGGTTAAAAGCTGATTTTCTTTTCTGCCTGACAACAGAAGTTTAATTTTGATTAGTTTTATTCCATTTCAGAGGAAAAAACGTGAGAAGTGTCAGAACTATTTTCAACCTGCCTACTCTCACAGTACACTACTATTTTGCTGACCAAAGAGGAAAGGTTTGGTAGGGATGAAAAGAAAACCTTTCGTCAGAGAATGACACATTTCAAGAAATACAGTGCATGCACTCTGTGCTTCCAATCTACAGTGGAATAAAAGGTTAACAGAAGAGCCTTCAGTACAATAGTTCTTTTCTATTACTTTCTAGTTACTTTTTCTGTTTAGTTAAATAAATTTCAAGTGATAAGAATATAATTTCCATTTAAAATTTAAATGAGCGATAAGCTGGTTTTACTTAGGAATAAATATGCATGGGGTCCTATAAGATACATGTCAAACTCTTTGGAAGATTTACTTGGTGTGTTTTGCTTTCTTCAGTAACAGTGCTAGGCAGTTAATGCTGTTAAACTCAGAATGAATTTTAAACATCCTTTGCTTTAGCCATCTTTAAGCTGATAGACTTTCTGAAGAGCACTAGAATATTTAGATATCTGTTACTACTGGGAGCACCGGACAGGAATGAGGTAACAATGCTGAGATGATCGCCTGTTCAGGAACTGCTCTTTGGGTTTTTTGAGTTTAAAAAATACCACTGCTCTGTTGCAGGCAAATTACAATTGTTGAATCGATGTCAGTCACACCAAGTGACAGTTATAGACAGAGTAAGTACCTCTCCTTTTAGGGGAGGACTGAGAATCCCAGGGGACACTTTTTTTCCCAGTGCAGGACACTTCTTTTAGCTGTATAACTGTTCAAATAGCTGTGAGGTATAAGTCTGCACACACCTCTACACATGCCTACATATAAATCTATGAACAAAATATATGTAGAGAATTGACAAAAGGTTCAGACTCTACTCAAATGAGTAAGTATATTTTCCAGTACTCTGTCTCATGCTTACAAATCTTTAAAATAGAGGGGATATTTACTTGCCTTACTAAAATATTGTGAGTTTTAAATTTACAAAATGCCTTGCAAGACTTCATCTAATATATAAGTAACAATTATTATTTTAATCATCTTTGGTTTGAGCCATCACAAGAGAAAAAGACATTCACAAAGTAATTTTTTTTTTTAGAAATGCAGATTGATAGAATAATCTATTTTACTGTTGAGCTACTACAAGGAATGATCATGCTCACTGATTCAGGAAAAAGGCAGCTTCATTCATAATATGTGTGGCGCCTGTCACAACTGTTTCCAGTTAAGGCCCTTCGATACAAGTATAATTTTTCATTAAATGTTATTGCTAATAATGGTGATGATCATGATTTAGGGGATTCTACAAATGTCCTACTGTGAGTCTCAGGAAAAAGACAAAAAGATAAAAAAGGTATCTCACCTACAAAGAAAAAAAAAGTCTTTGAAACATTAGGGTTTTTTCAGATTCTATTTTGTTTTATTACATTCTCAATCATAGAAAGTTTATTCTTTTCTAAGAATCTTTATTATTCTGGTTGCTATTTAGTACTGTAAAGTGAAATGATCATGAGCAATATGATGGGAGAGAGATCTTGTGGGGATAGCTTGAACTGAGGAGTTGGCTGCTATGTATTGAGAAAACATAATGTTGCTTTAATGGTAATTATCTTTCTCCTCCACCACTACTGAACAATAGTTTTCACCCAATTTTCTAAAGCTGTTTCATTACTACGTACAGTGATGCCACTTAAAAACCTGTTCCTGCTGTTTTAATTTTATAATTGCATTAATTTGTTTCCTTTCTCTTCACAAAAAATTCTGTATCAAGCTTTTCCATACTGAAGTACTTTATTGATATGTGGTTTTTTTTTTCAAAGTATTTGTTCTCTGAACAATCCATAATCTGTGAGGCTGGTTATCAGTCTTGGCTGCTTGAATATATAATGACACAAGTGCAGATAAAACTGTACAAGCCATCTGTCTCTGGAGCTAAATGTTTTGAATGTTTGCATAACAAACACTCTCTTAAATTGTCTTTGTAAATATTTATATCAGATCTTACCCCAAAATGCTTGTTATTTTATTCTGCTAATAGCTGTCAAGCAGATGCATGACTTGCCTACTCAAAAGCAGACAGGTGTAAGAAGGAAAATGTATGCTTCAAGAACTGGTCATACCCTAATGCTGGAGTTTCTGTGTGGTCTTTTATCTCTTTTTATTATACCCAGAAGCTAAACAGCTATTTCATTGATTAACTTACTGCTGCAATTAGCAACTAGCTTCTGGTGTGATGACCAGCTGTTTTTCAACCTGCTTCTTTAAAACTCTCTTGCTTAAAGCCAGAAAATTCATTCTTCAATTCGGAAAGATTCAAGGCCATAACATAAGTTCCACTCAGTGAGATTTTTTGGTCTCAAAGAAAATGAATAGGTACTCTTTTCCTGAGGGCCCTAATATTAAGTATAATGGATTTGAACATGGCCACAGTTGTGTTTCAGACTATTATATTTATTTAACTTTACATATTGCATCCTACAAGAAAAACAAATAGCAGCAACATTTCAGTTCTATTTAACCTCAAATACAGGACGTTTTTTTAAGCTTTCGTGGGCTACTTTAGTAAATTACCTTTTCTGAGACCATGTGTTTTTACAGCCTTCTATACATATATTGGAACTGAAATGACATTATTCCATTTCATAGAGGTTTTCCCCCCACTCTATATATTAAATATAAAAATTCAAAACCAGTTTATAATGAAAAAGATTCTTTTGACATTTTTTTTGCTCTGAAATATCAGCCAAATAAATAAGAAAGACTATTCTTTATTTCTAGTCTATTAAAACAAATAATCCAAGACTACGAAGCCACAGA